GTGCTGACGCGGAGGTGGGATATTCAACTCGCTGTGCGAGTTCAGCAGAGGCCGAGCCCGCTCCTGGAGCGGAGGGGCTGTTCGACGAATTTTGGCCAAAGGAGAGGACTTTCTTTGGCGTTCCAGCAACTGTTGGAGATTTAGTCTCCTTGGAAACTTTGTGGAAGCAGAGTGACTGTTCGACAAATTGCGGCCAAAGGAGAGGACTTTCTTCGGCACTCCAGCAACAGTTAGAGATTTATTCTCCTTGGAGACTTTGTGGATCTTGCGCATAGCCTTGGGGCTAAGGGATCCAGAGGAGATAGCCTTTTCAAACTTGGCTTGATCAAACTCTACTACGAGAGTTTCGACAGTTGTTCCAGTGAGATGAACATCGGATTGCACCACCACTTCTTCGTCACAGAAGCTCATCCCCAGCGGAGTCGCCATCTTTTGTATGCAGGGAAAATTGCAAAGAAGAGAATAAAGAAAATTTGATTTTGATTCCTTTGATCTCGGTTACAACTTGATTACAAAAGAGAAGAAAACGAATTTGAAGAGAATAAAGAAAATTTGATTTGTATTTCTTTGATCTCGGTTACAACTTGATTACAAAAGAGAGGAGAACGAAATTGGTTCTTCCTCTTTGTTTAAAACTGGGTTCTTCACGGTGGCGATGGAGTGCCTCCCTCGAATGCTCGCGTCGAGTTTGCTCTCCGTTGACGATCCGCACGTCTTGATTCACTGGAACGATGTCTTCTCCTCACGATTTGACGTTGTGGAGAACTTGCGTGGCAAGTTTGAGAACTCTGAACGAGTTTAGAAGAACTCTGTAAAAGAGTTGATTTGAACCGAAGATCGGTTAATAAGCCAAGGCTAGAGGAAAGCTCTGGTGGTCGATCTTAGCTGAGAAAATCCCCCCGAACCAAAAGAGAGCCCCTGAACTGAATTGATCTTCAGTTATTTATAGAGGATTAAGGGGGTGAAACCGCCCCTTAAATCTCTCCTAAGTGGGATGTAACCGCCCCCAAATCGTGGGCAACGGTTTTAGAACCGTTCAACTCATGTTGAATGAGTCAAACGCCCACGTTGGCGTTCAGGACCCTAACCTCACGTCTTAGGATTGAGACGCGAGGTTGGGTGTTGGCTGAACATTGATGAACGCGAGGGTCGCTCGCGTTTTGGCTGTTTGTAACGCGGGTCCGACTCCAGCGTTTTGATGTTGAAACGCGGGGTTCGACCTTGGCGTTTTTATGTTGTAACGCGGGGTTCGACCTTGGCGTTTTGATGTTGAAACGCGGGGTTCCTGCGTTTCGCCTGTTTGTAACGCGGGGTTCGACCTTGGCGTTTTGATGTTGAAACGCGGGGTTCGACCCTGGCGTTTTGATGTTGTGACGCAGGGTTCGACCTTGGCGTTTTGATGTTGAAACGCGGGGTTCGATCCTGGCGTTTTGATGTTGTGACGCGGGGTTCGACCTTGGCGTTTTGATGTTGAAACGCGGGGTTCGACCCTGGCGTTTTGATGTTGAGACGCGGGGAGGACCTCCGCGTCTTGCCTTGCAGAGATTATCACCAAGTAATCTCTTTTTGTCATAGCGTTGCAAAGATCATTGTCTTGTAATCTTCGTCTTGGCTCCTTGAGAATATGAGAGTCGTCAGATTGTAACTCCCGATGTTGATTGTGAAGGCTGTTGAAGTAGAGCTTCCATCAGTTGTCGTGAAGGTCGTCAGATTGTAACCTTCAGCAATCTACGCGAAAGTCTTCGAATTACAGCCTTCTGGAAGTCGTCAGATTGTAACTTCCATCATCGGTGGTTGATGGGGGATAAGCTTTCTATTGTGATTTTTAGACAGCCTACAATAATTTTGAGGATTCTATTTCATAGTGTTATTCATTAGGACAATGGAACAAAAATATTATCTTTTTGTGTTATTGATTTTTCTGAAACACTAGTGGGATAATTTCATCACTTGGATAAAATTACCCCTCATATACAAAAATTATCCCAATCAATGTTACATTAAACGTTGGGCGCTTCTAGGCGTCGGACTTGGCGCCCAGCGGTTAGTCGCCTAGAATGTTACATTAAACGTTGGGCGTTTCTAGGCGTCGGACTTGGCGCCCAGTACTTAGTCGCCTAGGCGGGCGCCTAAGCGGTTTCTGGGCGGTTTTTTCTTTCTTCATTTAAGTGGTGGTCGATGATGTTTTGCAGAAGGTCGGAGGAGGTAGTGGAGATGTTCATATTTGGAGGTTAATGGAGTTTGGAGGACATGTAGGCTACGACACATAAAATCACAATCAAGGCCTACAGGGTGCAATCTACGTAAGCAGACAATGCTCCCCTAAACGCTCGTAAAATTTAGGTGAGCAGCCTAAATACCGCCTAGGCGCTAGGCGCTAGTTAGGCGGCCTAGGTACCGTCTAGATCTAGGCGTACACTTAAGCGGACTAGGCGGAGGTTTTTTAAAACAGTGATCCCAATAGTAAAAATTTACCTCATTCTCTATATTGGAACAATTTTGTTCCACTTTGAAGGCAATTGGGATAATTTTCAAACCTTTTTGTATTATTTAACTAATACATGCTAATTATATTATAAATATATGACATAATATATAAAATATAAAGTAATAATATATTTAATATATTATATTATATTATCATGTAATAAAATAAAATATTATTATAGTTTAATTTATATGTATAATTTATTTTATGATATTTATTATATATTATTATACAATATCACATACTATATTATATAATAGTACAACATATTTGTTATAATATTATATAATATTTTAATATCATATATTATTATATAATATATTATATTTAAAAACTCATGTGGGGCCCGGAGTACTGTAGCGAATGGGAGAGGGAGTGTGGTTTGGGGTGTGCCCCTAACACCACTCATAAAATATAAAATATAACATATATTAACATTTTAATAATATTATATAATAACATATATTAATATTTTAATAATATATATTAATACTATTATGTAATATATTATACTATAACATGATACCTTTTAATATATATTATTGTAATTATCATGTAATATATATATGTTATATTATATTTTAATTTTAATATAAAATTTTAAAAAATATTACATTGAATAAAGTAAAATATTATAATATTTTATACAATACATTATATCCTATGATACTATATTATAATATATTAAATTAAATAATATGTTATTAAAGTATTATATTAAATACATTGTTCATATATTATATCAATTATTATATAATGTAGCATACTAATATAATGTAATATAACATAATAATTAATAATATAAATAGTAATTATAGTATAACATATTATATTTTTTATATAAATAAAATAATGTATTATATTAAATATATTGATCATATATTATATTAATTATTATATAGTAGAGCATGCTAATATAATATAATATAATATAATGTAATATAATAATTAATAATATTAATTAGTTATTATAGTACAACATATTATATTTTAATTTATAGTAAAATAATGTTTATATTATAATAATATACTAAAACAATTGGATAAGTTAATTTAGAAATAATTAATAGATAAAATTATATTTTAATAAGGTGCCACATCATCAATTATCCCACATGAATTGTCAAATCAAAGGCTCAAATTGTCTCATTATCCCATTTATCCCACTTTACACCACTCAAAATATCCCAAAGGGATAAAATTGTTCTATTAGAACAATTTTTTCACTTGGCCCCAATTTGTCCCAACAAATAACCCCCCTTAGGGTGAGTGAGGCGGCAAAGAAGGGCAGTTGGAAGTGGAGGGTATTTGAGGCGGCAGCAGAGGGAGAAGGCAGACGTTATTTTAGGTGGAGTGAGGTGGCGGGGACGGGTAAGTGTGGTGCAGGCGGTAGCATTTTAGAGAGCAGGAGGAAAAGGAGAGCCGATTGTTGTTTGAGAGGTTGAGGGTGACAGACGTGGTTGCAGGTTCCTTAGGGATTTTGGTACGGAAAGGGGTCACGACTGGGAGCTTAACCTTTTTTCAAAGGGAAGCACAAATTCCTGATCTCTGGTGGTCTGAAGCAATTTTCTTAAAATTAATTATAAAAAGGCAACCTTAAAAATTTACATTCTAATAATATGCTAATTACATCCTCATTATAACAAATCAAATGTGTAATCTACCTGTAGTAATATGTTCACGATATACCTTAGAACACAATTCGACTGGAACTAAAGTAGACGATACATGGAAGTAGAAAACTGAGGTTTTCAAATTGTTTGAATAAGATACTAGTATCCTATAATGTTAATTTGATTGCAGATCTTAGTATGCGTCTATGTGATGCACAATTAAATAGCTACTTATATTAGTTCTATTGTGGCTGTTCTGCATAGCAGCATAAGATCTATCAGAAATTAAAACCCGATGATTACTACGATACAACTTACGAGTGAATCATGACATGGTTTTAAGTCCCTCCAGCAAATGGAGCTTTTGGATGTATGTAATACACATTATAATTGATGATGATTAACTGCACAATTTGGCAAGGTTCTGTAACAAAATTCAGAAGTACATAAAAGCATCAAGTCATTAATTAGACATCCAATGCCGTATGTCTGCAAAACTAGATTGATTGAGCTTAGCCTTAGCTTAAGTCACATGTTGACTATTTACTTGTGAGTCCTAATATGAAAAAGCAAAGGTGCTTTGTCACTGCACACATAGATGTATGTTAAGGGAATTTATGTGATATTGGTATTAAGCTTATCTCTACATGCTTTAAGGATGATTATTCACTAAAATTTATATCAAGTTCAACTTTTAGCAGATGTGAATACTACTTCAACATATGTATTATATTCATGCACTGCTGGATGACTAAATTCATCAAGAACCACTGAACTAAAGATCTTAAATACACTCACGTAAGGTTTTGTACACCAAAAATATGATATTGTTGTTTTCTCACTTTTTAGCACCTTGGTCTAAATCTTTTTTGGAAATAATCAACTAGACCTTCATGTAGGTCTTGGTGAACAACAGAACTGCAAGTGCAAGCGAAATTGTGAGTGATGTAGCTATTTTCGCTAGTCATGAACAACCAAGTTAAGCATTATCAACTGAGACAAGTCATTTTTCTTCTTTTGGCTTTTGGTAGGTTGCTTCGGCTCTTCATGATAACTGCAAAGCTGTTATTGTGGGAGAGAGAACTTTTGGCAAGGTGTGTATTCCATTCAGTGGCGGAGTTAGGAATTTATCACAGGCGTGTCACAATATGTATATAAAAAAAATTATGTTACTAAGTTTTCTCTCACATTCAATAAAATCTAAACTTTAAGGAGATACAAAAAAGATATTTAACTAAATAGAATTACAGTTGATCCCTACGTGTCTTCATGTGTTTTAATGGTTGCCTAATACCCTCATACATAATACCACTAAATACACCCCTTATCAATGCAAGTTATTAAGCTGCCATTCATCCATTGATCCTCCATTTGGTTAAGCAAACGATTCTTTACAATTTGCATTACAGAAAATGACCTTTCTGTAGAAGTCATTGTAATTGGTGATATCAGTGCTTGCTAAATAAATAAGTGTACCAGTGGATACACTACATATTTCTTTTCTCGTCCTAAAAAAATGTTGCTCGCTTCGATATGTTGAATTTTGGAAATAGACCTTTTAAATTAACGAGTCATCTTAATGTAGGATCAATTTATTTTGAGCTAGAGCCATTGAGGTTTAATGGGTCACTTATTTTATTTTAATGGTGTCACTTTATAGTCATAAAATAAGCTACATTTTTTAATTTGTCAATGTGGTTTTACTTGAGACCACCCACTTGTATGTACATCCGCCCATGACCATGCGTCTACAATCCATTGTTTCACATTTCAAAACTTGTTGAATTCCATCATCTTTGGTCTGTGTTATTCTTCTCAACATCTTTCTAGGGTTTGATACAATCGGTTTTCGAGCTTCATGATAGATCTGGTGTGGTAGTCACCATTGGGAAGTATGTCACGCCAAATCACAAGGATATCAATGGAAATGGAATAGAACCAGATTTCCCACGCCTTCCGGGTACTTTCTTTTCATTGCTTGCAAATATTTTATTCATTCAGTTGATTTTAGCATAAGCAGACATCCAACACATGCATATCCAAATCTGCAGCTTTACGTGAAATCAACGAAACTCTTTCACGATGTCAAATTCAAAGGACTTGATAAACAAAGGTTTTAAATTATATATTCTCTTCTGTTTTCTTGACTAGCTTCTTCAAAATTTTCCCTTTTTTCCCATTTCTTGAATGTACTTGAATGAACATCTCTATCCAATGCTGTACATTTTCATCAGGTCCTTTTTTTCCCATTTCTTGAATGTACTTGAATGAACATCTCTATCCAATGCTGTACATTTTCATCAGGTCCTTCACATTGTAGTGGGTGACAAGCTAACAATGAAGATCACATGTGGCTGGAGTTATTGACTATTAAGGTATGCAGCATTTAAGAATTACCAAAAAAATTCATGAATTAACTCCTAATCAGATATGTTGTTCTGGGCAACCTTTTTAGATATTTTTTCTAGGGTCCATCACAAATTTAAACAATGCTTAAAACCATGGAAGGATGTGAAAAAACAACATTTCATCTGCTTCCTGCTTCTTTATAGAAGAGTGTTCACATAAAATTTATGACCTGATGCAGTCATCAGTTAACCTATCGGATGAACTTTTGGATGCATTTCAAAATCCGTAAAAGGGAGAGTGCACTCAAGCAATAAAGCTGATTTCTGACATTTGAGTTTATGATCTATCATTTCTCTAATAATGAGTGTTGATTCTTGTATTGGATATTTCTCTTTTAAGCCTGGGTACTTCTAATCTGAAGCCGTACCCATACCCGACACATACCCATATCCATACACGTACCCAAACTCCTTTGATATTCCTTGCATTTATGCAAATATTTATTTGGGTATCTACTTGATTATACAAGTTTTAATTTGGAACACTAATCATACATTTTGGTACATGTATCCTACAATTCACATCCACTTCTTGAAACTCATTGGACATAGGTCAGGTTCCCAAATAGGATACATGTATCCTACAATTCACATCCACTTCTTGAAACTCATTGGACATAGGTCAGGTTCCCAAATAGGATTTTGAAAGGTCGTTTGGAGGTTTAGTCCATTAACTAGTGATTTTCCAATTTATAATCCACATAATAAAAGAAACATAAAAATGTTATAGGAATTTTTATTCTCCTCCTCTTGTTCTCATATAAATTATTAGTTCTAGTATATATTATATGTGCATATAAATATTTATTTAGCGATGTCCCCCGTACACTACCTTTTAATAATCATACATTTTTTGGACTTATATCCTACACTTCGCATCCACTTCTTGAAACTCGTTGGATGAAGGTCAGGTTCTGAATTTTGATTTCTGAAGGGTCATTTGAATATCTAGTCTAAAAACTAGTGATTTTCTAATTTATGATCCACATAATTAAAAAAAATAAAAATGTTATAGGAATTTTAGTTCTCATCCTTGTTCTGATACAAATTATTAATTCACGTATATAATATTTGTGTATATAAATACTAATATAGCCATGCCCTGTACCCTACCTTTTACAAATTTGCCGTGTTCCATACCCTTACCCATGCAACATAGCAGAAAGTTTTTAGATTGAATTAGAAGTTAATTTAAGGAAGCACTTGTTGTTTTCTCTTTTAAGCTTGCTTCTGTTTCATATTGGTAAGATTTGTATTAGGAAGAGTTTGGGCCCTATTTCAACTAGTAAGTATATTCTAGTCAGATTGTAATAGGCAGAGGCTTATGCATTGGATCCCTTATTTTTGAGTTATGCATATGATACCACACAGTCAAAATGAAAATTTTCTCCTTCACACGTGCTTGATTCTTCCTTAAGATGCTATGAAACTTTAATGAGTAGTCAGAAGGAGATTTCTGCAATTAAGCTTAAAAGAACAAATGGATCTAATCCTGAATTTTCATAATTGTTGATTTTCTTTCAATTTCGTTTTTTATTTTCTAGATCTAGTTCATCTTGTTCTGGCAAAGTAGGTTGTTTGCAGAACTTTGGAGTGTATGGCTTTTATCTTAGTTTTTTTAATTTTTATCTTTAGAAATAATTCTGTGACAGCAGTAGATAATCTATACTACTATTAAAAAAGGCAGGCTTTTGGTACAACTTTATGTTCTACCATTTGTATGTTGCACTTTAAATAAATCCCAATAATTCTTCATACAACTGACAAGGATTTAAGAGTAGAGTGAGGGGCAAGTTTGGGAAATTAATTTTAACTTCACATCTCCCACTCGTGTTCCACATTTCAACTGATATTTCAAAACCTTAACTACTTCCCCACGTTCCCATTCTAAATAAAAGTCACGACAGATAAACTGACTTTATTCTTCTTTATATCTCCGCATCAAATGCTCTTCACTGCCTCTTCTTAATCCGCAACAACCCGATTGATCGGACTTTGAAATTGACGAGTTCTGATTACTTTTAAGTTTTAAAGAAGAAATTAACTTTAGTTTCTTACTGCTACTTTCTTTTCCTTTTTCTAATTTTTCTCTTCTTCGTGTTGCATGCTATTCTTCTTGCTGTTAAATGACTTTGCATGTATCGATAACACTAAATATCAAAAAAAAAAAACCCCATTTAACTTTGGACAATTATCGAAAAATTCCCCATAACTTTGAATATATCAGAAAACCCCCTTAAGTTTAGGCGTTATCAAAAAACCTCCTTTTAACTTTGAGATTTTATCAGAAAACTCCCTAAGATAAATCTCAAAGTTAAAAGGGTTTTTTTGATAAAATATTGAAGTTAAGGAGGAAAGAGCCGTCGGGGGAGGGGGCAGGGGGAGGAGGTTTCTGATAATTCCTATAGTTAAGGGTTTTTTTTATAATTTGAAAGTTGTGGGGGGTTATCTGATAATCATCCATAGTTAAAGGGGGTTTTGTGATATTTATCCTATCTATGAATATGATAAGTAAGTTGTCCAATTAAATCTTTTGTTATTCTTTTAACCATTTTCGTTTGTAGTAAAAATATTTTGTTATTCTTGAATATTATTTCTCAATAGTACATTATCTCAATTGTTTTCTTTGTCTATCTAAATAGATATATGGTTCATGCTATAGCGAGTGAACTATCCAAACAGGTATGTGGTTTGTTGTATTGTTATTTTCTGAAATAGTGTACGCATAATTCATTTTTTGCAATAATTGTTTACACCTCAGTTATATCAGCATCAATTAGTAAGTTAATATCATTTTTTATTACGCATACAGATGTGCTGTGTCATGCACGCATCGCATGTATCATAATACTAGTGTTCAATAAATAATACTAAAGGTGGATTTTGGGCCTTCCATATGGCGAAAGTGGATGATTTTGGAGAAAATGAGGCATGAAGTAGAATACCAATTTCTGGAGAATAATGTTAATTAACAGTACCAGAGACGTGTGCATTTGTGCAGAAGTTGATTGCATTATTTTATTCTTTATCTGTGAATTTATTGTGCTCCAAAACAAATTATACCATCTTACTTCTTTGTCTAGCCCATTGAGTGGAATAGGGCGTGTTTCAAATATTTTATCATTTTTCTTTTTCATATTCTTTTGAAGTATTTCAATTTCAAACGTGTAACACACACACAAACACATTTCGACATAATTTAACTATGCAGTATATAATCTGATTATGCATTATGTGCTGTCCAAACACATGCATAATGACTGCGTATTTGCAATATTGCATGTGTTGGTGTAGGTAAATGTTAGAAACGATCCAAGAACCTTCCCTGCATTTTGGTGCAATATAGATGATGTACCATTGCAAGCTTATGAGTATGAATCCTATCAGAACACCCCCACATAGTGTGGGGCGTTCTGAACCTACTGACGAGGATTGTGGGAGGTATTTTGGTAATTTGCAGGACTCATATATGGTTCAGATTGCCCCCCACCATGGCGCATTTTGATAGGAATCATACTCTTAAGATTATTGGACTCACAAGAAATAGGAAATATGCAGATGACTTATCATAGTTAATTATTTCAGTTTTAGAAAATTGTTCTTGTTGCATGAGGAATGGATGTTGTGCCATTTAGTTTCATGTGGTTAGTTGGGTTCCTTGATCGTTGATTCCAGTGTATTGTGATCTTTTTTAAGGAGGCTCTTTAAATTGACAGTTCTTTGTAGCTGTCATTGATGTGCTTGACTGCAAAGTGATTCTGGTTAGCTTCGGATGGCAATCTAAGGGTTAGGAGCTTCCTTCCTGCAGCTGTGTGCTTTGGTGAACAATCCGTCTTCACACAGAAAAATGGTTAGCCTGCTCCTTGTGGATGTAGAATTACTATAGGGTGATTTCATTTTTTTGCATTTCATGTAAGATATTACAGCATTCCCATGTTCTTAGAGATCAAGCACAAACATTAAATTCTTCATTTATCGTTGATATCCTGGTGTTCAACTATGCTGTAATGCTGAGAAGACAAACTACCTAGTTTTTATGAGTTGTGCCTTGTGTTAGTTGACTTGAACCCTTTGCTTCCCTTTGTTTTACGAGCCCTGCTTTGGAGTAGGGCTTCTGTTGCTTCATGTTTCTGAATCCATGGCAAACAATATATTGACTTAATTGCAGATACACCCCGTGTACTACAGTGGATTACTCATTTGTTACTCTCCAACTTTTTTATTAGCAGTTGGAATCCTCACAGGACCTTATTTCAACATCGGGCTTTTCTCTGTGATAAAACAAAATATCAGTGGACCTTTCTGCAAACACATTGACATCACATGAGACCCACTGTGACAAGTCAGATAACAAAGAGAGAACGTTTTGGGGTCATGGGTCTAAATGCTAATAAAATTTTTTAGGGTTACAAGTGGCTAACCCCATACATGTATGTATCTACAATTAACCCAATTTTTTTTCCTTTTCTTTCCTTTATATGAATATAAGTAGCACACCAATTAAGGTGGCGAGTCTTGCATGTGCAACTTGAATGGATTTAGATGCTAGGCAACTGAACGTAGGCGTTTGGGCAAAATCAACCTGCTAGACTGTCATGAAAAGCTCCCTAGCGTATTGTTGCACTGTCATTGTTCTTATTTTCGTTTCAGAAGCTCATATTGTCAAAGGGGAGCTCCCTAGCGTATTGTTGCACTGTCATTGTTCTTATTTTCGTTTCAGAAGCTCATATTGTCAAAGGGCTCATCATTTTCCTTTTCCTAATCTGTCATTGTTCTTATTTTCGTTTCAGAAGCTCATATTGTCAAAGGGCTCATCATTTTCCTTTTCCTAATAACAGGTAATCAAGCAATCAGTCTGGCTACTTAACTCGCAGATCAACAGGCCGGTAACTGCTCTTTATGATGATGAATATAATCTGCATCCAGTATATACACCTTTTCCATTTAGAAGTAGCACTCTTTTTCTGATAGAGAAAATATCCAAGACACGTGATGTATGGCAACTGTTTCAGTACTGTGGCGCTTTCTTCGCTTCTCTTAAAACAATATTTTCAGTGTTGCCATAACTAGTACTTTTGTTTCTGATTGAGTATCTAATGCTTGGGGAAAAACAAAATACCTCGTCATCTCTTATATATCTACGCAATTCCATGTTCTAGTTAACATTTAACCACTGCTCTGTTCCAAAGAATTAGTCTAACTCAATGTTAAGGCACTCTCAAGTCCGATGAGCAAACTTCAGAGCATAATACGAAATGACTTAAGGTAGGTATGCTGTTATAGTTTTATACTTGTGCACACTGAATCGTTGCGGTACAAATGTTACAATTGCAACGGTAAAGGCTCTGCAATATTTGTTGCATGAAAACAAACACAAAGTTATCCTTTAAAATATGGGACTATTTTTTTTTTCTAGGAAAAACGTTCTCAAAACAGATGTTGTGCTCGGACCAGTGGCAAAATTTGTACAGATTTTTTTTATTCAATAAATAAATTTCATGCTAAATCTAATGTTTGATTAATTGAATAAGGTGCAAATTTATAGTTTTGTAAGTTAGAATGTTTACGGACCAAGTTATTTCAAAATTTTGTATTTGTTGCTATATAAGTGTGACGTACATAGGGGGTGCTAGTTGTGGGCATCAATATGATGATTCAATGTTATCTTGGTGCTGGTTGTAGGCATCAATAGGAAGATTCATTGTTATCTTTAGAGCATTCAACAAGCACAGATAATTTTTAAAATTTCTGTATTTGAAGTTAAAAACCTTGAAATTTACCTCATTCTTGACTTTGATGCCCCAAAGTATTTTCTGAGAGTTTCTTTTTTATTTTTTTTCTATTTGCACAAAAAATTCTCCAGAATTCAATAAAATTACTCATAACGTTATTATTCGTCAAGTGATATGATCGAATTAGACCATATTATTTCAACTCTTGTATATTAAGAGCTGTTGGGTTCAGTTTACTAAAATAAAAGGAATATAAAAGGGCAGTAAAAAGGCTTTTCCATATATTCTTAACAATTCTTTTTATGGAAACAAAACGATGATTGAATGCTATTTTCTTTAAGTTCTTGAGTTTGGTTCAAGAGTGAAAAATGGGAAAGAAATATTTTACCAAAAAACACCATTTCTTTAGTTTGGGTGAGCAAGGAATTAATACAAAATATGAATGCGAGAACCCTTGATAAGGTTATCTCTCAGATGAGGACAAAAAATATAGCAAAGCGCATATTACTCAAAAATGCCAAGATGCGAGTTTCTTAAAATTTCACCACTTTTGAGCACTTTTATATAAAGTGTGTTACTATCATTTTAATTGAATCAAGCAAAGGAATAGGAAAAGGGAGTAAATGCTTTTGTTCCAAAAAAAAAAGAAAGACCCGACTTACCCATTTCCATGCGTTTTTCATAAGAACTCTGAACTAAGCCGCCTCTTAGCTTATCTCTTAAGATATGGATCCGATCTTCTCCAACTAAGTAGTGATTTGAGAGGGTACGATCATCATGATTCTTGTTGTGCAAGATTATGCCATGTAGGTCTCAATTATTTTGTTGAAGTTTTGAAAATTACTATTGTGGGAATCATTTGTGTGATAATGACAACTCTACATGACATAATCTTATCTCCTCAAATTTAGACACATGCTAAGAGCTATAGTAATTAGACTCTCTTCAATTGCCACCTAATTAAAGAGGATCTGAATCTCTTAGGACGTAGACTTTCTAAATAGAATTTTTTTAAAAGTTTATACCTGAAATCTCTTTACGCCTCATTGACTCAAGCCATCGCCAAAGGATGTTTTTTTTTTATCGAGACGAGAGGGAGAGAGCAAGTTCTGTGAGTTGCAACCGAAAAGCTGTAATTATTAATTTTACCAGATTTCTAGACCGAGTTAATTCGAGGCCTATAAAGTTGCAGTCAAGGGCGGTAGGGAAAAAAAGCTGGAGAAGACGAGGACTTAAATTGAATTTGAAAGTCAGCAGCTTTACTAATTTCAAGTGCGAGAATTATAGAAGGGTGTGGAACAAAAAAGGAGGAACGTCGTCCCCCAGTCCATTACTACTACACTTCATCCGTTTCAAACCGCCATCGCAATCCAATATCTCACTCGCTCCATCACTCGGAGGCCAAAATCACAAAAAATTCATCGGTAAAAATCTATGTTTTTTTTTTAAATTTTTTTGGGGTTCTCTTTGTTAATCAATAGTTCTTATGATTCCTTGTTCTCTTACTTGATTTTGGCACTGTTTGGTGTCCTCAATCTCCTCCTCCTTACAGGTTATTAGAAAAGATTTGCATGTTACAAGAATTTGTGGGTTTTATTACGGATCACATGATATTACATTGTTCTCTCTCATATTATTGTTATTATTCTTATTATTATCTAGTTTACTGAAAATAGTTTAGCATACAAAACTCTGGTGAATGCTGTAGATTTGTAAGAAACCGAGTGTGGGCCTTTGTGAAAATTTTGGGTATTTTTTAAGAGAATATCTTATGTTAAATGCACGTTATCAATGATTGGGAGTCTGTGAGCTTGTGTTTGTTGGAGATTTGTGGAATATCAAAATTGACTGTAATTGTTGATGGAAATGTATGTGTCAGTATTAATGGAATTTTCACCCAGTTTTACGAAATGGCCTCTGTGTACTAGCCTTATTAACTATTACAGGGATGTAACTCTGTAACGTTAAAGTTTCATCTTATTCTTGGCTATTGTATGTTCCTTTCTCATATATTTCAGGTATGTCAAGTTTGCTTGGAACTGCGATGTTCTTCATTCTAGTCCCAATCGGAGCAGAGGCTATTTAGTTCATTGTTGCTTTCATATAAGGTGCTGAAAGTTCTCTTTGCAGTCAATCGTATAACTCGCTTTTTACGTTGAAATTCTTACTGGACTTTTGAAACATCCTGGGAAAGCGAGTGACTTGAAACTTCAAATACTACTGCTCTCTGTCTTCTTTTTTCTCCTCAGCCTGTGGTACCTTCCATCAGTCCTTGATACTTGTGCAGACAAGAGCAACTAAAATGGACAATCATAAATCTACATTCATGAATGGTAAGAATAACAAGCAAGAGGTCTGTAATTTCCAAGGAGAATCGGGGAAAGATCTTTGGAAAGATGGCCTCATATTTGCTTTTGAATTTGTTCGAGGAAATAGGTTCACGAGTCCAAACAAATTACGTAAAGGTGTTCAAAATGTAAATAATAGGCGAACCATCCATCGTGTAACCGAACCAGAATCTTTAATAGACCTTAATAGCAGTACTCCAAATGAAGCAGCTGAAGGAGCTTCCCACATTGATGATAATAAAGAAACCTTGAAGCAATACATAACACAGTTATATGATAGCCATTGGGTTCCTATCGGATGGGAAAGGATAAAAGAACTGGTTCAAATGGTGCAAGTTGATGCAAATTGGGCTTCGCAACAGATAAACTTAGAGGAGGATGAGGACGATTTTACAGTTGCTGATGTTGTCGCACCTTATTGGGAGCGTCCAACGGGGCCCACATGGTGGTGTCATGTTAATCCTGCATGTCAATCCATTCAATCCTGGCTAAGTAGTGCTCAGTGGCTGCATCCTGCCATCAGTATTGCTCTCAGAGATGAAAGCCGTTCAATCCTGGCTAAGTAGTGCTCAGTGGCTGCATCCTGCCATCAGTATTGCTCTCAGAGATGAAAGCCGGCTTATAAGTGAACGCATGAAGCACCTTTTATATGAGGTAATCTTTATTCAGCGTCATGTTTTAATACTGTCTTTCATGATTAGATGGACATATGCTTACGCAATTTGCTCAGGTCCCAGTTAGGGTGGCAGGTGGTCTGTTATTTGAGCTCTTGGGGCAGTCCGTTGGTGACCCATTTTGTGACGAAGATGACATACCTATTGTGCTTAGATCTTGGCAAGCTCAAAACTTTTTAGTAACTGCATTGCATGTCAAAGGCTCTGCATCGAACATAAATGTCCTGGGGATCACAGAAGTTCAGGTATTTAAAACATAGAAGAGATGGCCCTGAGAAAATTGATCTTTGCGGATTATCCAGTTTTTTATTTACGTCCAGACTCCAGTGATTGGCTTCTCCCATTATGATCAGTTCATTTGTCTATAATATACTTTTTCTGCAGGAGCTTCTTCTTGCTGGTGGGAGTACAGCTCCTAAGTCAGTTCATGAAGTCATAGCACATTTGGCATGCCGACTTTCTCGATGGGATGATAGGTAATTTAACTCCATTACATATTCTAAGCAACAATCTTAAATTATAATATTTTTCTTTAAGCTGCATTTGTCTTCTATGTTGATTGTCAAAAAACTTGAGATGTGATAGACTTTTTTCCAAACAATAAAGATTGACTTGATGAAATTGGATCTTATATGTATTTGTCAAACAAAGTTAAATCAAGTTCCTCTTGTTTTCTGCATTTTCTTCAACCTGAGTATGAAATATCTTGATTAGTTGTGTGGGAAAAAAAGGAGAGAGGTGAATAGTTTTTTTTCTCCCTCCATTATTGTTCCTACTTCTATGACCACTGACCAACTACGGCCTACTTGGACGAATTCCTGAGGTAGGTGCTGTGGACCAGCTTCTAGGATGTTGATCTGTGGCGCCCCGAAAGCACAAAACTTTATCTTTCCTCACAACTATAATGTCGACCTTGGAGGTTTCTTTCAGCTTTCGAAAGATCAAAAAGCATGAGACAATCTCCCATGCAGCTCTTAACCAAGTATTGCACCATGTTTCAAGACTAGAATATGTAGCCAAATTTTAGTTAAAGAAAACGAGTTTAACCGTGTTATGATAGCCTACCCAAGGTTATCGATATCGGATAGCATCGTGTAGCGGTGAGGCATCGCTAAGGCTATTTAGGGCTATTACAGCAAAATAGCTGTAAAAAGCTCAAAGTCAAATAACGATCTAATTTAGATATATATAAATATTAAAAGGGAGCTCACGGCGAGAGGAGGTGAGATGAAGTGCTGAGGGAGGTGCCATAGGGAGGTGCCAGAGGCTATGGAAGGCGGCAGGAGTATGCCGGAAAGCGAGGGAGGCAGTGGGATGTAGTTGTTGCGGGTCAAGTTTAACTTTAAAAAATAAATAAATGTCAAACCGCTTTTAAATTGCGATAAAAAATGGATTTTGCCCTCAATCGCCTGTTACTCACTACTGTGGTGCGATATTGGCCTCTTTTGCAAGCGAAAAATGCATATTTCGTAATATGTCACCGTTATTGGGCGACAGTGTAGCTTAGCGGGAAGGGACCGCTAACACTATTAGCGTCGCTATTGCAGGACTATTTACCGCTATTTATAACAGTGAGCCTACCATGACTAGTAGTAGTTTGTGCATGTGCATCAGTATAGATCATATCTGATTTACTTTGTACTCTTTCATTTTTATATCGAATTTGCTTCACCTTCCTAACCATATTTCTGCAATTTATGTATAATTTTAATCTTTTCTCTCTTTCTTTTATTTCAACAATTATCATGTGCTCAAGTACACACTGGTACAGGTTTGCTTGACATAATCTTTCAGGCATTAGTATTTTTCGCACTCAATGACCCCTACGCTGCCCTATCTTATCACGTATTGTTATAAATATTTCCAACGTTTTGAGTTTTGCTTATGAGCGCTGTTATTTGGATGTTTACAGGCTTATTGTTATAAATATTTCCAACGTTTTGAGTTTTGCTTATGAGCGCTGTTATTTGGATGTTTACAGGCTGTTTCGGAAGTTTGTTTTTGGAGCAGCAGATGAAATTGAGTTGAAATTTGTAAATAGGTACAATCAGGTGCTCACTTTAAATCATAGCATGTTAGGAAACAGTATTTCTTTAAGAATATCAGCTCTTGTAATATCTTGATTATACTCTTTTGTCTTGCTGGTTCATAAATTTTTTATTATCTCTGGACCAGGAGAAGTCGTGAAGATCTTAATCTACTGAGTCTAATATTAAACCAAGAGATTAGAAGATTAGCGACACAGGTACTTGGAAGTACTTCTCTGGTTTGTAAAGCCTTCATCTTCTTTAAAAACAAGATTTAGATTTGGCATCATGTCTTCACAGTACTTTCTATACATAGCGATGCTGGAGTTATTATAATTTTATGCACTGGTCTACTTCCCCCATTTTAGAGATATTGACCTGTGAATGCATTCTATTTTTTTATTTATTGTATGTCATTTGCATCTCTTGTTTATTATATTCATGTCATTATTTATTATGAATAAGTTGCTCCAGATATTGGTTTGTGCTCAGCAGGGACTTAAAGTACCTACTTCTGCTTAATAATTTTCTTTTGTTGTTTTGTCTTTTTCCTATCGGTAGATCCCCTGAATTTATGTTTGTCAAAATTTGAAGTTCTGGAATTTCCATAGCCATATAGCAACATATGTGCTATCTGCATTAGTAGAAATTAATTTGCTGTGCATACCTCTTTCTGACCACACACAACCTTCATAGATAAGCACATTCCCTTTATGATTTTGATGGTCTTGGCTTGAGATACTGATAAGATAGGAGTCATTAGCTTTCTTTCGTATGTATGCATGCACTTAATTTATGTGAATCACCTAGTGTGCAGATACTACCAGATTACTACAAAATACTCGCATCTACGATTGTTGATTTTTCCCTTTCTGTTTTGTTTAAGGATACTTCTTAGGAACTACTTGTTCCAATCATATTTTTGGAAATTGGACTTGGTAATGCAAGTTGTTTAGCAAGAAAGGCCAAGTGCCACAGGAGCGAAAGCTACATGTTGAAGAAGACTTAGGCAATTTCTTAAATCTCCTTACCTGTTGATAAATAGCACTTTGCTTTCATAATGTAACTAACCTTTCGGTTCATGGCCATTAGACAGAACTACTAATAGTAAGTCGTAGATGACTAATAAGAAGAGGTAGTCGTTCAATAGATTTTTGAATCTCCATTACTTGCTATTTAGTGACAGGGTAAGTTTTGTTACAATCGGTTTATCAGATTGTTGTCTGTTTTGGTGAGACCATTGAAAGAAGATGAGTCAGGTTTTGTATCCGTAATAATATCATTCTCCTAGAGCGACATAAATTTTGGAGAATAGTACATACAGCATGGTGAAAAAAAAAACTTAAAACTGGCAAACATGAAGTTAATAAAGAGCCAGAATAACCTGAAAGTGTCGCTTAGAAAACCCAGATTTCTGGTTTTTCTTAATTATTCAACATATATGCAACTTTGAGTAACAGGATTCACACGTATACCTTCACGGTCTTGCACTTCGAACATTTTGATATCAAGTAGTGAAATGTAAAAAATGCATCTGTAACATGACGATGCACGAAAAAGTTGGAAACTGTTAATTTTAGACGATCGTATATTATAACTTGCACAATCATGATGATTTAGTGGGGAGGGTCAAAATCTGACACGTGTTACTTTTATGATTCATACAAAATTTATCTGAAATCTTCTGATAGTGTAGTCTTTTATTTAGCGTTTGTAACATATTTATTTGAAACTCTTTTAGGTTATTAGAGTTAAATGGTCCCTTCATGCAAGGGAGGAGATTGTCTTTGAGCTTGTCCAACACTTGAGGGGTATTAACACGAGAAGCCTGTTAGAGGGAATAAAAAAGAGTACAAGGGAAATGTTGGAGGAACAAGAAGCTGTTCGTGAACGCCTCTTTACAATTCAGGATGTGTTGCAGAGTACTGTCCGTGCATGGTTGCAGGTATATGCAAAATATTCCTTGAAACATTATATTTAATTTGCACGTAATTGATTTGGGATTTTTGGTGGGCTTTTATGGTGAAGGTTTTGTTCAGATGCTCTAAGAAAGATAACATCTAGTTTTCTTTTTGTGTTAACTTCAAGTGGAAAGTTGGTAAAATAAACCCAATATAAAAATATTAGCTTGGTGATTGTACTTTCTCTATTAATTTGGTAATTTAACTCCAACGATATGATCAGCATAATTTTATAATAATATCTGCCAAAAGTTGAGTGTCTTTTTCAATGGGTAAAAAAATATGTGTTTATTTTTTGCACCAAGACCTTTTCTAGATCTGTTTTATGGATGTCTGTACGATTTGAACCAAGATTGCTCTGTTACTATTTTAAGTTCTCTCCCAGGAGACCAAAACTCCAATATTCATCGAAATATTGAAATTTTTGTTGCTTCATTGGTAATCAGGACAAAAGTCTTCGAGTTACTCACAACTTAACCATATTTGGGGGTGTTGGCCTTGTCCTCTCCATCATCACGGGGCTCTTTGGGATTAACGTAGATGGCATACTATTTGGGGGTGTTGGCCTTGTCCTCTCCATCATCACGGGGCTCTTTGGGATTAACGTAGATGGCATACCAGGGGCAGAAGGGACTCCATATGCTTTTGGCTTGTTTTCTGGGGTCCTCTTTTTCATTGGATTTGTTCTCATTGGACTCGGGATGCTATATCTTGGACTAAAGAAGCCAATTACCGAAGAGCAGGTTCAAGTGAGGAAATTAGAACTTCAACAGCTTGTATCGATGTTTCAACACGAAGCCGAAACTCATGCTAAAGTCAGAGAGGGAAGCGGAAACGTTTATAGACACAATTTGCCGCCAACAGCTGCAGATATGATTTATGATACGGACTATGTGCTTATTGCATGAAAATAGATGTTTTTGTGGTCCGTAGGAGAGTTCAGTTGAAAAGTTATTTTTATGGATGCCAGAATTACACCATATTGCATTATCTGTGAATGATTCTCGTCCCTTTGGTTCATGCGAATTTTGCAAGAAAGACAACCTGTTACCTTGGGGTCAACCGTGCTGAATCTTTCCGCTTCTGGAAAGCAAATTTTGTAGCATTTAATGTAAAGGCTAATGCGCACTTCAATACCTTAATACTTTCCTCTAGTTTGCACTTACATATATCCTCACTTGTTTTTGGTAGCATTTATGTGTCCTAAAATTTTAGAATTTACTGAGAATTTCTCTTGAATTTTTTCACGTGACACCCACAAAGCTTAGTTTAGAGCTTTCTAGGCCTTGACAAGCAAAATTGACCCGGGCAATGTTGTGGCATCTGTGTGCAAAAAAGCCAAGGAAAAAAAAACGTATAAGCTTTACTTTAAAAATATACTATACAGCTAACTGCTTGAACGAACATAAAACAAGTTAAAATAAAATATAACAATTCACACCAATATCAAACTGCTAATATACAAACTAGGTTTAAAATTGATTATTCTGACTACGCTATATCTTAGGTGATTCACAAAGTTGATGGATTTTAAGTAAATTGTGTAAAAATCCTTTTTCAAAAGTGAATGGATTTAAAAATAAATTAGAGTAAAACTTTAAATTTATAGGCTAATGAAATATCAGGACATTAGCGTCTAAAAAAGCCAAAATAGAATGGTTAAAACATTTGGCCACATTCTACACCTAACCACTTAGAAAAAGTATAGCAAGTGACAGAAAAATATAACACTTTACACCATATTCAAAATGGCTAAAATATACAACAAGTTTAAAAATAATTTGGTGAAGTATGCTGTTCTAAGAGAGATTTTCAAAGCTAGTGGGTCTAAAAATAGATGTGGGTAAAACTTCTTAGTAGCCAAAAGACCTTTCTGAAAATTGGCATCAGGACTAAAAATAAATAGGATAAAGCTTTGGGTAATTTCGGGCCAAGAACTTTCTAAGGGGATTTTCACTATTAGACCATCTCCAGCAGGAGGTGAAATTTTACCTCATTCTCTCCTGCCACATCACTTTATTTAATTCAATAATCTTCATTTCCCTATCAACTCTACAGCAGGAGATTTTTCAGAAAGTTTTTTACTTTATTTGGGACCCACCATAAACCACTTCACTTCAACATATACCCTACCATATTTATTCATTCTTTTTCCTATTTCATACATATTACTAATTTATTATTATTATTAATAATATAACTCATATATTTATAATTATAATTTATTAATAATTCAATAAATAATATATAATATTTAAATATATATTATTAATTTAATTTTCAATAATATTTTTATGTTAACATAAAATAACACACGATTTTATTAAGCATACGGAAAACCAAACACACCCAAATTATTAAAAACATGCCAGAAAACACACACTAAATTGGTAAATCTAATCGGAGGTTGTCCCAAACTTCTGCCAAATGTGCTCGATGAGATCCTTCTTCAGCTGAATATGTTGGGTCTTATCTCGTAGTTCCGCTCTAGTCTGATTATCTGCCTCAGATCGGTGTTGAACATGGACTTGAAACTCCGGCAACACGTCTGTTTGAACATTGAAAGAGGCGCTAGAGCTAGCATTGTTCGACGGTTCAAAGTCGATATTTTCCCAGTTTCGCGAATACGTATCTCGTTCATCCTCTACTATCATGTTATGTAAAATAATGCACGCCCTCATTATTTTTCCTAAGACATCAAGATCCCACATTCTAGCTGGTTGGCGGACAATAGCGAAGCGTGCTTGGAGTACCCCGAATGCGCGTTCCACGTCCTTCATGTATGATTCCTGTTGTTTGGCAAAAAATTGATGTTTGTTGCCTTGGGGCATTTGAATTGACTGCACGAAGACAGGCCACTTAGGGTAGATTCCGTCGGCAAGATAGTATGCAAGATTGTACTCCCGCCCATTCACGGTGAAGTTTACCCGTGGAGCTTCACCCGACTCAATGTCGTCAAAAACCGGTGACCTATCTAGTACATTTATGTCATTCAAACTACCAGGAAGCCCTGAAAAAGCATGCGATATCCACAAATCATATGACGCAACTGCCTCGAGGATAACTGTTGCCGTCCCCTTGTGTCCACTAGTAAACCGCCCTTGCCAAGCCTTAGGACAAATTTTCCACTGCCAGTGCATGCAATCAATACTTCCAATCATCCCTGGGAATCCACGTTCCTGTCCAACTTGGAGCAACCTCTGCAAATCTTCCACATTTGGTCGTCGTAAGTATTCATCTTGAAACAATGCTATTACCCCTTCGCAAAACTTGCGAGTACACTCGATAGCAGTGGATTCTCCTATCTTGACGTACTCATCACAAGCATCGGCTGCGACTCCATATGCGAGCATGCGTATGGCAGCCGTACACTTCTGGATAGGCGTTAACCCAAGCTTGCCCGCATTATTGCGCCGTTGTGTGAAGTAATCGTCGTAATTTGATATAGAGTCCACAATTCGTAGAAAGAGAGGCCTTTTCATTCGATACCTGCGTCGGAACTGGGCGTCAGTGTAAGTGCATGACTCGGCAAAGTAGTCGGCCATGAGTCTCTCATGCGCTGCATGATGATCTCTATGTATGGATTTCCTCTTACGTGGTTGTTCGCTTCTCCTTTGCAATTCTTCAAGAAGTTCTCGCTGCCTATCAAGTATTTTTTCTTCTATTTCCCATTGTTGTTGGAACTCTTCTAGACTAAACTCATTTAGGAAAGGATCCATTGGATGCTATGATTTTTGAAATGTTGATAGGTATACTTATGATGTGCATCTGATCAGTTTATATAATGAAGGGTAGTTGTTCAAATAATTGAATTCACATGCAATTGCAGAGACATGTGTCATAGGGCATGCATGTGCAGAGAGTTGTCAATTCATATTTTGTATTATTATGCAGGTGTAGTCATTTCATCCTTTGTATTTTTTGCAGTGAAAGGTCAATTCAACATTTGTTTGTTTTTGCAGTGAGAGGTCAATTCATATTTTGTATTATTATGCAGGTGTAGTCATTTCATCCTTTGTATTTTTTGCAGTGAAAGGTCAATTCAACATTTGTTTGTTTTTGCAGTGAGAGGTCAATTCATATTTTGTATTATTATGCAGGTGTAGTCATTTCATCCTTTGTATTTTTTGCAGTGAAAGGTCAATTCAACATTTGTTTGTTTTTGCAGTGAGAGGTCAATTCATATTTTGTATTATTATGCAGGTGTAGTCATTTCATCCTTTGTATTTTTTGCAGTGAAAGGTCAATTCAACATTTGTTTGTTTTTGCAGTGAGAGGTCAATTCATATTTTGTATTATTATGCAGGTGTAGTCATTTCATCCTTTGTATTTTTTGCAGTGAAAGGTCAATTCAACATTTGTTTGTTTTTGCAGTGAGAGGTCAATTCATATTTTGTATTATTATGCAGGTGTAGTCATTTCATCCTTTGTATTTTTTGCAGTGAAAGGTCAATTCAACATTTGTTTGTTTTTGCAGTGAAAGGTCAATTCATATTTTGTATTATTATGCAGGTGTAGTCATTTCATCCTTTGTATTTTTTGCAGTGAAAGGTCAATTCAACATTTGTTTGTTTTTGCAGTGAAAGGTCAATTCATATTTTGTATTATTATGCAGGTGTAGTCATTTCATCCTTTGTATTTTTTGCAGTGAAAGGTCAATTCAACATTTGTTTGTTTTTGCAGTGAGAGGTCAATTCATATTTTGTATTATTATGCAGGTGTAGTCATTTCATCCTTTGTATTTTTTGCAGTGAAAGGTCAATTCAACATTTGTTTGTTTTTGCAGTGAGAGGTCAATTCATATTTTGTATTATTATGCAGGTGTAGTCATTTCATCCTTTGTATTTTTTGCAGTGAAAGGTCAATTCAACATTTGTTTGTTCCTGCAGTGAGTAGTAATTGTATCTTTTGTACTATTATGCAGTGAGAAGTCAATATCAATCGGCTTTATTGAACCATAAACAACAATTTTATTCAAACATTAACAACACTTTTATTAATACATTCAACAAACATAGGCATGCACACAACTCCAAAATTAAACAAACGGCACACAAAAACATCAGAAAGAAAACACACAATCATAACTTCCTGAGAATGTCTTATTTTCCAAACAGGTTCTTCCTCAACATATTATAAGCTTCTTCATCTTCATCGTCACGATCTGGTTTGTTTTTCAAGAATAACCACATCTCCATATTCTTGGAATGAGCCAGGTTATTCATAGCTGAAGCAGTACTTGATCTTTTCTCTTCAAATTTTTCATGAGCACTGACTAGCTTAGATAACTCCTCCTCAATTGCCCCCTTTGATTTCCTTGACACAGATGTTTTACTAGAGGAAGCTCTAGCTTTCTTCTTTGCCACGTCCCTACCCTCTGGACGTACAAGGGTAGGAGTTGATGATTCAACATCCTCACCACTACTCTTTCTTTTAGAGCCACTACTACCGGATGCATTTCCTCCTGTCATATATTTGGGTTGATTACGAACCACCTTCCACTCATCCACCAAATTAAACGTCGTACCTATTTTCTCAAAGTACAACTCTCTTGCCTTGGATATGTAGTTTTCATCGGACCAACCGCTACGCTTCTCCCTACATGCAGTACTGTAGCAGCCAATGAAACTGGATATCTTTCTGTTGATGTCTTTGAAATGACTATGGCACCGAGACACAATCCTCTCCTTTCCACTTTTGGCGTTCTCATTCACGTACTGTGTAATTTTACCCCAGAAAGTTTCACCCT